CCGGGGATTGACTTTTTTTTTTTTTTTTGTGCCGGGGATTGAACTGGGGTCCCTGTGCTTGCAAGGCAGGCAGTGGAACCACTGAGCTAAATCCCTGGCTCTGAAATAACTTTCGTATTTCACTTTGGAAAATTTGTTTTAAGTACATAGAAGTAGAGTAGATTTGTGTATGATTATCTGGCATATTTATAGAAACTCATGTTTTGCCCCCAGAATTTCCCTTTACTTTTCAAGAAATCATTTCTATCTCTGCAATAATATTGTATATTTAGTTCAGCATTGTGATTGGCATATTGTCCTTTAATGTTTAAACGTCAGCTCTCCTCACTATTTTATAGGAGCTTTAGCCTCATCCTTCGGCGTCTAACTCCTGAGCCAAGTCAAAAGCAGCTTGCACTGACTTCCTCTGTTCCATCTGCGCACGGTCACATTTCCCTCCTTGTTTCCATGCCTCTCGTGTCAGTGTTGAGAAGTGGACAATCTGGCCACACACAGACTCTGAGCTGCCTACTGACGGCTGTATGTTGCTGGGCATATGTTTCTTTAGTGTGCCTCCTGCCTAAAGCTGTGCGGAATGATAAACCCACAGTGGGCAACTGCCTTCGCTTCTTTTAGCTTTGATAAGCCCTGTTTTTCCTTTTAAGCCTCATTTCTTAGGGGTCACCCCGAGTCCATGTACTTTAGTGGTTACCCTATGATCCCTCAGAGATTGAGCTCTAACTCTTTCAGCCTGTACGTCTTCCCTTTGCCAGTGGCTCTTCCCTTGGATTGGGGAATTTATTGCAAGCTCAGAAAATTTGTGAATTTGTCTTAGCTTGTCCTTTCTGATCCGTATTTTAAAACCTCCTCTAGGTATGTGCACAATTCTCATGTTCCCTTGGAGAATTGAGGAAAGCAGAGTATGGTCATTTCTGATCTATTTGGAGCATGCATGCATCCTTCAGCCTGCAGGCTTCTCTCCAGACTTCTAGAATCACGTGGGAGCTAATCAAGGCCCAAAAGACCATCTTAGTCACAGCATCTGCCTCTAGATTTTCTGGCCAGCCTGTGGGTTTGTTCTCTGCCTCTCTAGCCTTACATCCTCAATGGCAAGAATCTTAGGAGAGGCATGGCAGCTGCTCAGAAGGACCTTGGAAGCCTCCTAGGTGGTGTGGCACAAGTGTGGCACTTAAGTTTTAGCTCACGGCTGCCTACTGTGGTGAGGGCCGGGGAGAAGACAGCATGGCCCTGCGAGTTCACCCAGGAGGCTGTCTTTCTGAAAACGATGGCAGACAACACACAAGCACCTGAGCGCGGGATGAATTGGTGGAGGAAGGATCTCTGACCCCTATTACTGAGGTTTTCTGAGAACTGCAGATGATGAAGGGCACTGCGGATGGGCTTGGTCCACATCAGATGATAAATTTGCCAAACTCACCGTTTCAGTGTGAAAATGACACAGCTCTTACTAAACCACGGTATGGATTTCAAGGGATGATCATGTTCAGGACTATCTCTTGTCCGTCTTCTCCAGAAAGGGCATACTTAAAAGAGAAGTAGATTTTAATAAACTTTGGGAAGTTCTGCTGTGAATACGTGTGAGTTGTGATCTTTTCAGTTCCTCAGATGGTGGATACCCCTTGTCTTTGCTGGGGTTTTGCATGTCCTGTGTTCTCTTTTCCTGGTTAACTCTTCGTCTTCCCTCAGAACCCAGGTCTGCCATCAAGTTCTGGGAATCCTCTTTGAGCTTCCTGACCTGTGTATATCATTTTTTACGGTAGCGATATCTACTTGTAAATTTAGCAGCTATTCCAGTGCATTTATATATTAATTTTTATGATTTTTCTAACTATGGTAAACTCTAGAAGGACAAAGGCCTTGGAAGGTTCCACTGTATTTTCAATTACTAGGAAAATGTTTAACATTAAATAAGTGATCAATAAATATTTATTTAATGATTAAAAGAGTGACAAAATGACCAGATTTCAAGATATTTAAATATTACATTAAAAACAAACAAACATACATTTAAAACACAGATGCTAACATTATTAAATTAAAAATATAATTCGAAGATGGGAAAGCTTTGGTATTATCATTCTCTGGTACATTCTCTTGGGACTTTCATTTAGTATTTAGAAAATATGTTGTACATACCATCTGACTACATTGTTTTTGTATTAAAGGTATTTCACTTTAAAAACAAAATACAATCATCGAATCATTTATAATTGGAGTTTACCAATGTCTCCTGCCTTAGCTCACTTATTAGATCCCAGAGCTCTCGTATCTATTTCTAAGATATAATAAACTTCTATCCATTATGTTTCTGTTTTAATCAACTGCCTCATAATGTTTTACTGTGTAATATGGTGCACACCCTTTCATCATTGTTTCACAATACTGTATTGAGGATCCTATATCAGTCAGAGATGAACTCTTCCTGGTGACACCCACAGGGAGCCTCCTCTTCCGACCTGACCTCACCTCCAAACAGCAAGTCAGCTGTGAACCCAACACTGGAAGAGTCCACTGATGAGACTAGCAACCCCTCGATCTGATCACTTTTCAAACACATGAAAGTTTCAGTACATATTTCAGATCTAAGCCATAACAGATCTCATGTTTTAATTTTTGCAGATAAAATTTATAGTAAATATGTTAAATCAACCCGATCTTTCTGTAGAAATAGGAAGGTATCACCCGAAACAAGGCCCACTCTCTCTGGGCACAAGATGAAACTGATCCTTCAATTTCTAGCAAGAAATTGCTGGAACTGGTGGTAGAAGGTACCATGGTTTCCTCTGCTGTGCTTCTCCTGCAAGCTCAGGGCGTGTTTGTAGGCTGGGAGACCAGGCCAACAAATGCATTGCTCTGGTAGGAAGGAAGTTCTTGTGCTATTACATACAAGAAAATTCTGAAGACCAATGAGCTTAGTAAAGCAAATATTAATCATTAATTATCTAATTCACATCATATTTTAACATTTTTATTTATAATTTTTGCAGACATTTTATTATATATCATTTTCTTTTGCATATGTTAACGTTTGTGAATTTGAAGCCACCTTATCTGCTTTTTTTGGAAAGATTTAAAAAAATTTATCATCAACAGTTAAATTCCTTTGTTGTTTTCCAGTACTTATTCTTTTATAAAAAGTGCATATTTTGTGACATTGTGTTTTGGGGATACAAATTTAATGTCTGTGCTCTCTGATTCTTTGATCAAATCTAGTCTACAAAATCATAGCTAAAATGACTTTCCTGACACCAATTTCTATTCTGCTCCTCTGATAAATTCAGATTTTGAAAAATAATGTAGAACATAATTATTTTTTTAGTCAAAAACTAATGAATGTGTTCAGTTTTACAAGTACATATTAATTTTAAATTATTCCAATATAACCATATTTTGGACAAAATTATACAAGTACTTCCATGATTTCTTATGTTTTTCATTCCAGTTAAGTTTTGATTTTATTCAGGTAATTTATTTTACAAAAATGTCCTGTGGGGTATTTACTGTGGTTTTGAATGTTCACATATGGATTAATATTTTCTTTTTTAGAATAATAATAATAATTTATCCAAGTAAGGTATTTTAATATCATCTACCTTACATCAGAATTTCAAAGATATTTCCCTTCTGTATAGTATACAAGGCACATGAAGCATTGATTTCTCTCTCTCTCTCTCTCTCTCTCTCTTTTGCTAAATAAACTGAAATTAGTGTCTTAAATTTTGGAAGATTTTTCTTTAAACATAGAATTCAGAAACAATGCCAGGATAGGATTGGGTTAGGCCTTTGTCAGGAATTTTCACCATTTTTAATGTGATCTCATTGAATAAAATAAACAGAGGCTTTCTTTGGGAATTTGCTTTATTTTTTCCAAAGGATTTCTCTACCTCTGAAATCTTGATATATGGTATAGTTTTAGAACTAAAAAGGCCCTGAGTAAATGTCAGTTGAATAAATATATGAAAACCAAGAAATGCATTTTGACTGTTTTCAGGCTGCTGTGAAAACCCTAACTGATATTATAAGGAACAAAAATGCATGATAGAGTAATCAGTTCTCCTATGAACACTGGAGTCCCCTAAAGCAACTTCCCTGTATCCAACAAGACCATTGTTCACTCTGTAGCACAAGGACACGACCTGTGATGGGACGCCTTCCTGCTTGCCTTCTTTTCCTCTTCAATGCATGTGCAGCCAGCCCATACACTTCTAGTCTTGTACACCTCATGTGGGTAGGAATGGATATCCCAAGACACAGTGTATCCCTCCCCCAAGTCACCCCTACACAATGGGTTAAAATCTGGCTTCCCACCAGTTCACTATTTCCAGGACAAGTCCACTCTTAGACCCTCTTAACAATGACAGCTGGCTTGATTAGTGAAAATGAGAGAAGGGGCATTTTCTATGGCTTATCTGATAATATGCATCAGTTTGTCATTGTTACTTCTTTTTCAATATGGATTGGAGAGTTTTGCCTGTGAATTGCACAAGTGCACTTAGGATACCTCTTGTCTTCTAAAATGACTTTGAGAAGAGCAGGATGAAGAGGTAGAGGAGAGACTCAGGAACACGGAGTCCAGGCAGGGCAAGTGATCAAAAGCAGATTCAGAGGCACAAACAGACAGTAAGCAGAGAAAGACAGGGAAGATGAAGAGGAGGAATTAAGGAAGGCTAGGTGGCAGGAGAAAAAAACACAGGCAAGCCGTGGTGAGACTGCTGGAAGGGTGACTGGGCACCATCAGGTAACTTATACCATTTTCTTCTACAGATGAGATCACTAAGAATCCAAATGAGGGCTCAGTTTCTCCAACGCCAAAACAATGGACTTTTCCCTGTGAGATGACAGACTACAGATATTGACCAAATGGATAACTTTTTCAGTAGCAGTTGGTGTAACTGGAGAGCGGGGAGAAAATTTAGAAGCCACCAGTGGGACATAGGAGGGGAAATGAGAGGCCCTGTGGGAGACGGTGGCTGAGAGAGACAGTGAGGCTTCTGAACTAGGGAAGTGGGCAGAGAGAGAGGTTGGTTTGTGCAGCAAAGGAAGACAGATAAGAGTGCGAGTGGGTGAGGGAAGGGCTGCAGATATCCTAGTTCTGAAGGTGGTTTTCTGGCCAACGTATCAAAGCTTCAATGCTGCTCCTGATCCTTCTACTCTTCAACGGATTTGGCTACTGTGGTGGAAGCACAGATGGTAAGAAGCGCTCATTTAAAAAGATGTCTATGTTTGGGCACCCAAGGAAAGGAAGCTCTGGGGAGGGTCTAGATGAACAGAACTATAATTCTATGGTGCACTTATTGTCTGCATTCCAGGCTGGTTACAGGAATAAAATTCCTTCTCCCGGTCTGATGTAGGGGCAAGAAAGCTGAGCTAGGGGGTAGGGATTATTGGGATATGTGTAACCTGCGACTATACCCACCCTTGCTCATCCACTCTGAACTCCTCTCCATTCTGTAGCATCTCTTCTCCCATCCCTAACTCTCTCTCCCCCAGTCACTCTTTCTTTCTCTCTCAGCTCCCCAGGCTTTAGGATTGCATCATCCTGCGGCAGAAGAGCCCCTCATCTTCCATTTACTCCATATTGCCTCCTTCAAGAACCATAGCTGGGCACAGAGCCGGGCCTCAGCCTGGCTAGGTGATCTGGAGACTCATAGCTGGGACACTGTCTTGGGCACCATCCGATTTCTGAAGCCCTGGTCCCAAGGAAACTTCAGCAAGGTGGAGCTGAAGAACCTCCAGGCACTTTTCCAGCTATATTTCCGTGGCTTCACCATGGAAGTGCAGGCCTTTGCTCATCAGTTTCAGTTTGAATGTGAGTGTGGATCTTCTATCTGAGATCTCTGGCCATCTTCGGAGTAGTCACTGGTGTAGAGACTCTGGCCATCCTCCAACTTCCTGGCTTTATTCTCTGTCTCCCTTTGGCTTACATTCCCTCCTCTGCTTCATTATCCACTACCAAACAAGCAGCACGGCTGGGTGTGCATATCTGTTCTTCTCCTGGGTACACCCTCATCTTCTGCTTCCTCTCTCCTTGGCTTGAGTGTTCTTATGCCACTACCTGGATCTCATCTCTGCTGTGGGAGGTATTCCAGACCAGTCTCTTGTCTTCCTGACAGCCTGACCATGTTTGCCTACCTATTAATTATTTCAAGTTAACTTTATCTTCAAAGTTTCTCATTACAAATGTCCTTCTGTTTCCATCTCAACTCTACCTTCTTATATGATCCCCTAGCCCTTTCTCCCTACCCTTGAATCCTGCTATGCTCCAGATTGGTAATGTTTCCTCCCTGTCATTATTTCCATATTGATTCTCTTTTCTGCTCTCTGTAGACCCCTTTGAACTTCAGATATCAGCTGGATGTAGTTTGCATCCTGGGCAGGCTCCGGAGAGCTTCTTAAATGGAGCATACCAAGGATCTGATTTGCTGAGTTTCCGAGGAAGTTCATGGGAGCCATCTCCAGGAGCAGGAAGTCGGGCCCAGAATGTCTGTGAGGTGCTCAATCGCTACCAAGATATTAAGGAGATAGTGCACAGCATCCTCAGTGACACCTGCCCTCAATTTCTGGCAGGCCTCATAGCAGCAGGAAAGTCAGAGCTGGAACGTCAAGGTGAGCCCAATTCTCTCTCCTCTCCTATCTCTAGTGCTTTCATTATTGTTTTTGAATTTACAGTGAAGTAATTATTGAAACTGCTAAACCACCCGAGTACCTGAGCTCTGACCCGAGGTGCTCACCAGAGGTCCATTTTTCCCCATCTTCTCCTATCTAGTGAAGCCCGAGGCCTGGCTGTCCAGTAGTCCCAGCTCTGGGCCTGGCCTTCTGCAGCTGGTGTGCCACGTCTCTGGCTTCCACCCGAAGCCCGTGTGGGTGATGTGGATGCGGGGTGAGCAGGAACAGAAGGGCACTCAGCGAGGGGACGTCCTGCCCAATGCTGATGAGACCTGGTATCTCCGAGTGACCCTGGATGTGGCGGCTGTGGAGGCAGCAGGGCTGTCTTGCCGAGTGAAGCACAGCAGTCTAGGAGGCCATGATATAGTCATCCACTGGGGTGAGAAACAACAAGGGTCCAGCTGAGGATTATGAGACAGGCCTAGGAGTTTTGGTTGAGGATCTGGGGAAATTGGTATGAATGCTAATACAAGAAAGGTAAAAGGTAGAGAATCCAAAGAAAGAAGGGTAGCAAATAAAAGCACTTAAATAAAGCAGGGAATTAAAGGTATTAAAGAGAAAAGAAGGTGGGATCTCATGATTTACTGGAAGAAGGTTTGGGTGGATGAGGAGCAGTGATTCAGGAGGAAATGAAAGTTCTAGAGAACACTGATGAAAATTCTAGGACCAGTAACATTAGAAGCTCCATCATTGCCCCAGTAACATTAGAAGCCTTACTGTAGAGAGATAACAGAGCTTCAAGACGTGATGTGTTTATCTTTTAATCTAAGCAGGTGGATACTCCATTCTCTTGACACTGGTGTGTCTGACTATAATAGTCACCCTGGTCATGCTGGTTGTACTAGGATCATGGTACCAAAAGCAGAGGTGGGCCTTTCCTTGTTCTTTCTTTCTTCAACCCCCAGAAGCTTGTTCTCATTTTCTATATTTTATTTTTTCCTTACCTCTTTCCCTCTGTTGTGCATCTTTGCGATTAATATCCTCATCTTTTCCCACAGCTCAAATCAGAATGCCCTCTCTTCCGGTGTATCCAGCTGCACTTTTCCCTTGGAAAACAACACCCAGTGCCCCAGAAGTTTGGTCCATCAGCTCTGCTTGGCACAAGAATCATGGATCAAAAACAGAATCTTAAAGTGGAAAAGAAGCCGAAACCAATTCTTCTGACCTTAGTTTGTATTATTCATAAAATCTTTGTCTGCTTCTTAAATATGGATCATGTCTACTACAAAAGTTACAATTTTATTCAAAAACCTTGTTCTTGATATTGATGTTCTATTTAATCTTCCATAAATGTTGTTTCTACTTTGGTCCCATGTTCAGCAACATTGATACTTCAAGCTGAAAATCATGGACGTGTCCTTAGGTTATCCAGCTAAAAGCACTGTATTCTCCCAAAGTTCAGTTGATTTTCCTGAACACATCTGTCTCTCTATCTCTTCTGCTCTACTAGTTGTCATTTAGGTTTTTACTCTCTCCTTTCTCCAAGATGATTGAAAGTAGGTCTTAGATATATATACCTATGTAAGCACTGAGGTGAATGCTGTTTATGACCCCAACTGGAATTAAAGCTCTTCTGTTACCATTTTGCACTTCCTTCATAATTTTCCAAAAAGAGACATTGAATTCTTCCATGTTCTAGAGAAAAGTATATTGCTGCTTCTGCCTAAATGTAATATATTTTAATAAATGATGATTGAAATATGTCTACTAGCAGATAAAGTGTCTTAGTCCACTTCCTCTACGACAGTTCTGTGTCATTTTACTGGGCACTTAATAAAATGGTTCCCCTCTCCCTTCGTGTCTCAGCAGAGGTAAGAAGAGCAAGTGAATGAAGGACTCAGATTCCCTGGTGATTAAAAATTGCAATTTCATCTCCATGATATTTAATAAAATAATAACCTAGGAATGTCACCTAAGGGTGGTAGGTTTGGACTGGCATTCCTACACCCAAGAGATTGTTGTATGTTTCTGTGTGTGTCTCTGTTGATGAATACATTCACGGGAGAAAGTTATATTTTCAGCAATTAGGAAGTCAACATGGGGTTTGAGGACAATTTTTAACGGACAGAACTGGAGGAAAGACAGTGAAAAAAAAGTGTAGGTTAATGCTGGCTTAGTTATTTGTTTACTTTTCTTTTTTTTTGGTTTTTATGATTGTTATCATCATGTTATATATCTTATTGTTTCTTTTGTTTCTGAATGGGTTCTTAAATTATTTAAAATTATTTAGCTACTTTAGTAGAGATGCTTTTGAATGACCTTGGAAAGCATAAAGCTGTTAGGATGTGGAGTTCATATAAATGATTAACTTCTTCCTTTGAATAGAAAAATTCAGCAGATAGTAGCTTTCTTAGTGTAAGCTTCAGGCCATGTGAAGTATTTTTAAGTGATCTGTCTGTTCCATGATCATTTATCCAGGTTTCTTTTTACTCATAAAGGAGGCACTGAGTCTGTCCTTCTACTGTTGGGAATCTGTTGCCTTCCATATGGCATTTTCAGAAATCTTGTCCAGAATCAGGCTTCTAGAATCTAGAGAAGAAGCGGGAGTTTTAAGGGTTTCTTCAGAGTAGTAAATGATGGAAGCCAAGTTTCACTGGGTACCTGTCCACAGCCTGATCTCTCAAAATGAAAAGGTTCAAATGGGAGATTTTCAGTGCTGCCAAAATGTATGTAGTGAAAATATATTTTCTGTTTCCCATTTGAGTGAACTTTGCCACAGTTGAAGATTTTTTTTTTTTGACACAGTAATTTTTGAACCTCATATCTGACTCAGGCTAACTTCCAACATTTTCACTATTGTATTTTTCCATGACAATATTCTATAGTTCTATGACATTGGATTTCTGTCCCTTGATTATGTTGATCTTCCTCTCAGCTTAGGTGTCACCTCCATAGGGACCTTTGCAGATTAGACAAAATAAAGTGACACACTCCTTTTCAGTCATGATTCTAGTTCAACAGTGTTCGACTATTTAATTTAGCTGTAATCACACCACTTATGTTTCATATTTATTGATGTTGTCAGTCAAAATATAAACAATGTGACATTCCTGGATTTCTTCTGCCTTGAACACAGTTTTACCTCTTGTCTAGAATATAGCCTGATACAGTGGATGGTTTAAAATATTTTTGTTGAATGAACAAGTGATGTTAAACTTGGACTTGCCAGAAGAATTTTTAAACAAATCTCTATATGATAGGCCATAAATTTCCAGATACTAATGTGTCCCTAAGGTGCTTGTCACTAAAGATGTAGTTGGATCATTGATATTGTTCTGGTTCAACCTTAAAACACAGGTCTTAAGAAATGGAGGGGATATTTACGTTTGTTGATATATATCCTTTGAACTAACATGTATAGTTGGAGGAAGGGTGCTATAAGACCATCGGAGTCAGAATAGGTCAATGCTAAGAAGGACACAATGTCCATATTCCTCACTAACCAGGGCTTTGGTGAACCACTATCCCTATCTTCCACCTAATGAATAAGGTAACCTGAGGATGTGGACCACGTGAATCAGTGGAGCAGTATAAACTGAAACATGCTTAGGCCTCCAAGTTTGTTGCCTGCAGATGAAGAAAGATAAGAATGTAACACCTGCTGTGCAGCTGGGTTCAAAGGGGGTTATGCCCTCAAAGCTCAGAGCTGCTTCTGCAGGTTACCCACAGAAGGAACCCTCGATATTCGAAATGTGGGCTTTACCTCGAAGGAATTAAAACCAGTTCATCATCCTTCCTCATGAACCACTTTCCCATTCTCACTTTCTTCTGCAAGTGGTCCCATCATCTTACTGATTTACCAAGATCACAACTTTCCTTGGATAGTACCTTCATTCTTTTTGAATCTCCAAATACCAAAGTCTCCTTTAGAAGTGGTTTTACATTGCATTCCTTGTCCATAATCTTGATCCAAATGTGAGCATGGTTGCCAAAGATGTAAGACAATAAAAATGCTTGTATCAAGGATATAATAAAGATTGTATATTGGTCATTAATGCAATTATTAAGGCAAGTAAGAGAAGTATCTCATTGATGGCAAAGGCCAATTGAATAACATCATTTGAATAGAAGTGTGGATTCTAGATACACTTTTCATGCTTTATTCATATTAACTCATATTATCCTTATAAAAATTCTGAGCAGATACGATTATTTACATGACTAGCAAGAATGACAGGCAACATGGCTGCAAAATCTCTACTTTCACTCTCGTACTACATATTCTGAAAATTACCTTTGGAAGCTAAGCATTATAATAGACAAAAAATATAGCAGAGATACAGGAATAGAGTACTCTATCTTCTCACAGCCCACGTTGACGGGAGGGACTGGAGAAATGGTTAAGTTGCTAAATAATATATGTGAAGTGGTGATATATGCAATGATTAAGAAAGGACTCAGAAGAGAGTTATCAGAGAGAAACAGAGTATTATTTAAAGGACTGTGGCCATATAGAGAAGGTAGCATTTGAAAAAAGACCTCCCAAGAACAAGAAACAGGCCATGAGTATCTAGGGGAAGAGCATTTCATAAGGAAATAGCATTATACTTGGAGTTTTCTACAAATGGTGAGAATTACAGTAGCTGGACTGTGAAAGGAGATAAGGATGGTGATTTGGAGTCTAGTCATTCGGGGCCCTTATAAGGCATTGCACAGGGATGGAAAGTCATTTAGGGTTTCAATAAGTGCATCATAGTTATTAGATCGAAGGAGATAAGTTCTGAGAAGCAGAGAGTGGTACAGTAGTCTCCAAGAGTTAGAGAGAGGAAGACATGGTGAGATGATGGTTGATGGTTGCAAACTTTCAGTTATACAAGATAAAGAAGCAGAAGACAAATATAATACCTCATAGGGTCTACAACTCACAAGACTGTGATACACACTCAACATCTGCTTAGAGTATTTATGTTCTTAATACAAGACGTATTTAGGTTTCTTCACATCAGTCGTACTTCAGTATAGTAATTTTTTTTAAATTTTATTGAGTTTATTGGTTCATTTTAGGGATACAGTACAGTTACATTCATTGTTGGGATCATGTACCTTTACATGGCAAGTCTTGATTCTCATTTTTTCCCCTTACCTCTGCCCTCCCTTCACCCCCTCCTCCCCTCCCCATCTACAAACACTTTATTTTCATCTTTTCATTCTCTCACATTTTTTTCTTTTCCCTTTTTGTTCTTCCCCTACGCATTACACCTTTATTTCTCTTTGTAATACTTAGAGATCTTAAAATCAGGAATATATGATGAATTGTCTTTTGCATTGCTTTATAATTAATTGGTTTATACAGGTATCTGAAGTCCTTATGTAGAATGTTTCTTTGGTTCCGAGGCCATAGCAATGCATTCTAAATGATCTGCAGACCCCGCAGCAGTAATGGACATGAAACAAAGAAGTTAAGTACTTAGTAAATGATAGCATAGCTTAGTTCTTCTTTTGTTTTTGAGTTTTTTCACAACTCATTTTTTTCCTTGTATGTGTTCTCTGCTTTTTAACTGTAATTCTCATTTCCTAATTTTTAAAAATTTTCTAGAAATTATCTTTTATTAAAAAAGAGAAGTCTGTACTGCCAATGTTTTCTTTCCCCTATTTATCCACTTTCCTCAAATCATTAGGATTTCTATTTGATATATTCTGGTGTGACATATACATAAATGTATATGTACCTATATTTGTGTGTATGTGTGTGTATCCCTGAGTATGTATGTGTGTGTTCAAGATGCAAGCTTCTTGTGCCAGAAGAAAAGAACAAAAATAGTTTTTACTTTGGTGTAAAATTATTTTTATAATAGTAAAACCTATTTATATAATTGTATTCAAACTTGAGATCTCAGTGAAAAATATTCTTTCTTCAGATTGTAACTGACAAGAAATGAAAAAGCACTTACCCACTATTTTTAAAAGGAAATGGGCACGTGATTTTTGGGTTTGATCAGCCACTGTCTGGTAGGCCTTTTGAATGTCAGAAGAAGCAAGAAGTCACTTGTAAAAGCAACAATATCTGTTCTGAAAGACTAAGTGATTGGAAGAAAATGCACTGATGTATTTCATGAAAGTTTTGTTTGGATGCTTAGATGTCCAAACCTTTAAGTTTTAAAAAGCTGAAAATAGCCCTATCTATATTCATATGCCAATTTAAATCCAATAATTGGGTTGGAGAATATTTATAGCCTTCTGGGATTCTAAGAACTATGGACCCCTGAGATG